TGTAGGTGTATACCTTTTTTTTTTTTTTCGGTCTTTTTGAAACAGGGTTTCCCTGTAGCCCAGCTGTCCTGGAACTCACTGTGTAGACCAGGCTGGCCTTGAACTCACAAACTCACAGAGATCCACATGCCTCTGCCTCCTGAGTGCTAGGATTAAAGGCATGAGCCACCACACCTGGCTGTAGGTGTGTACCTTTATGCCCTGCCCTTGCAGGCCATTTACATAGTTGCTTGTTTTCTCCCATCTGGTTGTGTGGAAGGTCTTGGCAAACTGCTTTGTGGGATCTTGCCTGCCCCCCAACCTTGTGTCTCCTCACAATTTGGGTGGACAGTGTACCTAGGGTGCCTCTCAAAGTCTTCCTGGGAAAATTCAGGTCAACCCCTGTCCTTCCAGCTCTTTTACAGAAATTTGAGTCCCTTAGCTCCTCCTTTTCCCCCACCTCTGTCCCCATTCCAGGCCTCCTTTTTCAATATCCACCCTGGATCTCAAGGCAGAGCTCTGAAACACTTGGCTTCCTTCATCTCTCCATCACCCTTCTCTGCCTCCCCTCCTGTCTCTTGGTACTGCCACAGACTCAAGACCGCCTACCAGTCCTCTTCATACTTAGCCACTTTAGCATCAGTTCTAAAGATCCCCCCTCTTCTTGACCTCTTGGTTCATTGAGAGAACAGATGACATCAGGTCAGAGTTGTGGCCCTAACCCCAAAGTGACACCTTTCCATCTCCCCTTTGCACCGTGGGCTGTTTCTACCACCTATACCTGGTTTCTTTTGTGATTATCTCTTCCATATCCTCCTCTTGGCTACAGCTGTGACCTTTTGGAACACCAGGCTATTTAGAGAGAATCCACTGCCTCCTCTGGTCACACACTGGCTCTTATCATCTGCTGGGTCATGGGTCTCTTTAGTAGTTCCTGAAGGGATTCTAGCTCACCTCTCTTCCTTATCTGCAAGGTGATGTGTAATCTCAACTCAGTCACCCACTGTTCTTTCTCTAAGAAGACCTCACTTTGGCCATTCCCACATGTTCTTACCAACTTCACCGAGAGCCTCCTCATTCCCAAGCCCAGTGGGCACGTTTTTCAGCTCTCTGCTCCTTCTGACCTTCCCTTGAACTTGGAAGTCCTTAGATTCCATGGCACCACTCTTGTAGCTCTCTCGCCAGCCCCGGACTTCTCCCCTCTCCCTTCCTCTGATGGGTAGCAGGTGTCTTCCAGCCTCCCACTGCACCTGTTCCCTTCACAACTGCTCAGTCATGCGGGGTAGCTTATCTACCCTTTTGATTGCAAACATCAGGGTCAGTCACTAGGTGTCTTTAATGAGTCCTCTCTCTAAGATCGACTGCCACTGTCTTGCTTCAGGCCAGGCTAATTCCCTTTCATTGAAACTGTCTGTTTTTTGTTTTGTTTTGTTTTTTTGAGACAGGGTCCCCTCACAGCCCCAGATGGCCTGGAATTCACTATGTAGACCAGGCTGGCCTTGAACCCACAGAGATCCACTTGCTTCTGCCTCCCAAGTGCTGGGATTACAGGCATGCGCCACCATGCTTGGCGAAACTGTCTTTTTTGAAAATATTTTTTACATTTATTTATTGAGAGCAGGGAGCATGCCACAGTGTGTGGAGGTCAGATGACAACGTGCAAGAGTTGGCTCTCTCCTTCCATCATGTGAGTCCCAGAGATTGAACTGAGATCAGTAAGTTTGGTAGAAGGCGCCTTTACCCACTGAGCCATCTCATTAGCCCCAAATTATCTCCTTTTGATACACTTCCTAGCACCACAACCCAAGTAATTTCTTTTATATTTCTTTCTTTCTTTCTTCCTTCCTTCCTTTCTTTTTATTTGGTCTTTTTTTGAGACAGGGTCTCCCTGTAGCCCCAGCTGGCCTGGAACTCGCTATGTAGACCAGGCTGGCCTCAAACTCACAGAGATCTGCCTGCCTCAGCCTTCCAAGTGCTGGGATTAAAGCCATGTGCCATCACACCTGGCTAACCAAAGAAATTTCTAAAATGTGAAACCAGTTGTGTTTTTCCTATTTAAAATCCTTCTATGAATCAGACATAGTGGCACCCACCTGTAATCCCAGCAGTTGGGAGGCTGAAGCAGGAGAGTTGTTTTCAGTTCTGTTTAGCCTAGGCTACATAGTGAATTCAAGGCTAGCCTGGGCTATACAGTGGGATCCTAGTTCCCACTGCCCTTAAGTCTAAGCTTTCTCAGACCCTTGTTGACCCCTCCCTACTTCCCACTTTGCACTTCAACATTCCTATGTTGCTTGGAGTCATCCATGAATATGGTCCTGTTCCTTCATGTCTCAGCTACCTTTTCCCATCATGGCCCTTTCTGACACTTGCCTGCCCAACTTCTCTTCCCACTACAGTAAAACTTTGTCCTAGTCTACCCACCACACCAGACACCACATAAAAAGTCTCTTCCCCAGAGCACCTCCAGATAACTTGCATTTAGCAAATGCTACCTTATTTTGTCATGTTCATCTCCAGACACACCCTTAGAAAATTCTTGTGTGCATACTGCAGTGTGCCTTGCATTGTGCTTAACAATTTCCACACACTCCCTAATTACCTTACACACTGTGGTGTGGCCACAATGACTCCCATATTTTCAGTGTGGATTTTTTTTCCTCTCTTTTAAAAAATTATTTGTATTTTATGTGTATGTATTTTGCCTGCCATATATGTAAGTGCACCACATGCATACAATGCTCAAGAAAGGCAGAAGAGGGCATCAGATCCCCTAGAACTGGAGTTATCCTAAGTTGTTAGCTGACATGTGGGTGCTGGGAACTGAACCCAAATTCTCTGCTCTTAATTGCTATGCCATTTCTCCACCCCACCCCACCCCACCGCGGATTTAGAGATAGGTGATCTGCTTTCTCCAAGCTCCCAGAGGCAGAAAAGAGTGGTTACCACATCCAAGCATCCTAAGTGTGGAATCAAGGCTGTGCTGTCAGGAGTGTGCACAGACTGCCGCTGCCTACACTCTCTCCTTTTCGTTTTTACAGAACCCAGTTTCATTGCAGTTGGCAATATGCCTGGTTAATATTTTCAGCCTCCTTTCATACATGTGCAGTATGACTCGATTTTATGGTGTTTCTAGAAGTCCTCAAATGACAGGTAGACAAGATGACTGGAGCACAGCAGCCAGCTCAGGCCATGAGATAGTCTTGAAGTAGCAGTGTGGAAAGGACAGAACTGGGCTTAGGGCAACACTGTGGGCCACAGTCATGTTCTGGCAACACCCACCTTTCCCCCCTTTTTTGAGACCAGCTCTCTCTATGAAGCCTAGGATGGCCTTGAACTTGAAATCCTCCTGCTTCCATCCCCTGAGTGCTGAGATTGTATGTGCATCACCAGGCCCAACTTTTTTTTTTTAACGCTGTGGTAACAAAAACTATCTCATTAAGTCATGGTACTAGGGCCCCGCTAATTACACCTGATACAAAGGGTTGGACTGTATTTCACCTACAAGGCACTCGGGGTGCTGGGGACAACTCAGTAGCAGCAGCCAGCATGGGTGATATAAATTGTTTATTTGAACTCATTCCACCTGCACTGAAGCTCAAATCCAGCAGCAGCAGCAGAAGGGATCAGGACCAAAAGAAATGTTACCAAATTGGACAATGAACAGCAAGGACACATTCAGACAGAACTTACTAATAGGGTGTAGACAACACCAAGCTATCCTAACCACACAACACAGACCCATGGAGGTCTGCTGGTCAGAGCCCTGGAGAAAGCCCCCTAGCTCCCGTTCACTTCTCAGGAAATGCCAATCCTACCCAAAAGCTAGCCCTGAGCCAGGCAGGAACCCATAGAAGTCTCTTGTGCTGGGAAGATTCCAGCCTCTCCCCAAAGAGGATTTTGCAAAGTTCACGTGAGAAGTGCAACATACCCACCCCCACCCCATGTCTAAGCGGAAATCTCAAAAGACCCGGGACTCCTTCTCCACAGCCTCTCTGCAAGAGTTCATCTTGGCTCTTGCAGGCCCATGAAGGATGCCGATCCTCCCACGTCCTCACACTCTTAGGAAGCCTTTCCTCATAGCTCTGGTCCTCTGACGGGATATTTCTGGTTCCTAAGGCCCCCAAGGACTTGCCTAACCAGCTCCTTGGACTAGAGATTGGACCACCTTGAGGTTATGACTACTTTCTCTACTCCTGAAAGACTCCCTCGCCAGGGGTAGATAAAGTGAGTAGAGCTAGATCCACCCCACCCCCATCCAGTACCAACTAACAGATGACTTTCAGAGATCTAAAGCCAGGAGGCTCTTGGTTGGTCAGAAACACAGATGTTGACCTCCTTTGCCTGTCTCTTCCCAAAGGTTGATGCCAGCTCGCCTTCCCTAACCACACCATGCCAGCTGCCAGGAGAGCTGTCAGAGCCCCTCCTAAGCCCTTGGCTGAAGCATCCATTCTTCCAGTCCCTAACTGGGCTAAATCTTCAAGACTATGGTTTGATTCCCACCGTTACCTCTGTTCCTTCATTATGCTTCCCTGGGCTCTCCCAGACTTCAGCCCACTCAACCCTAAACTCCCCAATCCACTTCCAGACTACCTCTTGCAGTGCTGGGCAGCACCTGGCTGGCTGGAGGGTGGATAGGACTGTCAGTCTATCCCAATAGGGACTGGCCTCCTTCATCCCCATTGCCTGGGTCATCCCACTGCTAACACTGTCTTGCCTGTTCATCTTTGGGGTGGCTCCCCCATACATATTCCTCCACACAGGGATGGAGCTGCTTGAGTCCCAGGTCTCTAGCCACTTGACCTCCAGTGGGTTAATTCTAGCCTCTCCATCAGAGCACACGGGGCTGGTGGCAGCAGGTGTCCTTAGGGGAGCCAGCTCTCCCAGCACCACATGGCAAGTGCCCTCCTCATTCCCCAGCATCTCCTTCACCCTCACCCGGCCCACTCTATCCCTTATATTTCATTCTTGCAAATTACTTTTCCAGTTCTCCTTCCTTTTCCTCTCCATTCATTCTCCCTGTCCCTATTCCATGGCAGCCCCACTTGGATTCTCCTCTTTATCACTGCATGTGTCTCTGTAGATATTTCCTCAGTGCTGTCTCTGCATCTCTCTCTCTCTATTCCTGTCTCCCTTTTGCTTCTCTGGCTCTGTACCTGCCTCCCACCCATGTCTGGTTCCCCATCAGTCACCTGTTCCCAGCCGCTCCCATCACTACCTGTCCCCTCTCTCTGGTTTGACTCTGAGGACTGACCTCTGCCCCGTTCTCCTTCAAACAAGGCTCCCCCACCCTACCTGTCTATCCCCACCTCTGCAGAAGGATCCAGTGCTGTGGAAGGATCCAAGCACTGTGGCTGCAAGAAGGGGCTAGTTGGGGACAGGTGGAGAAAAGCACAGGGCAGTGGCCAAAGCTTTGGGGAGAAGGTATCCGCCCTGAAGGAATGAGTAGAAGAAGTGGAGTCCGGATTTGGTAAGTTCCTAGTATCTGATTCCTAGCAGGACCCAGCATCTGATTCTAGTTCTGATGGGGTCATGGTCTTCCCCAGGAATCCTAACTCTCAACTCCAAGTCCTATGGAAATGAACACAAGGATGGCACGCTGCTCTCACAGCTCTGGTTGAGGCCCATAAAACTAACACTCCCCATGGAGCCTGTAGGGGGCATCACACTTCTCAACTCACAGACCAGGCAATGGGCCACACCCTAGGAGACAGTAAGCTAGATGAAGCTAGTCTGCCATCCTTCTACTGGGGTCTCAGAGCTTGTCTTTGCCCTAGGGTGAGGGACCCCAGGGATGATGGCTCTGCCACCAGATCTACAAGGTAACCAGGGATGCTCAGAAAACACCTGGAGTCTCCCTCATTTGCTCTCTACCAAGGGGGAAGGAGAATCCCCTACAGTGGCAGAAGAGGAAAAGACTTCTCATTTGCCCCCTCCCCAACATATACTCACACTCACACAGACACACAGACACATACACTCACTCATGCCTCAGCTCTAAGCACTCCCCATGAGGCTGCAGACCCTGGGCATATCACAAGGCGAGAGGTGGGCAAGGATGAGAAAGAGGCAGGGACAGGGTAACAAGGCCTGGGGGTAGGGACAAGGGTACCCTGTTCAGAGGTGACCTGCAAGTTCAAGTTATGCAGAAAAAGTATCAAAGACGCAAGACAGTCTCTGCCCTTGACAGATGCCCAGGGTGTAGGAAGCATGAGGAGGAAAGAGGCACTCCCTAACTCCTCACCTCTGTGCCCCCTCTCCACAGCCACCAACCTTGACAATGGGACCAAGAAGTCTGTGCTGTACAAAACAGGCCAGGGCCAAGGGTATAGTCCCTGGTGAGATAGCCCAGTAGAGAAGAGGCCAGGCTGGCCCAGGCTGGGCAGCTGGCAAACTCCAGCTGCTGCAGTTAGCATCCTCCTCCCAGAGCCTGTGTCTCTCCTCAGCTGATCAGGGACCACCAGCAGTTGACAGGAAGGCGCTATGCTTTCTCCCTCAGCACGGCTCAGATTCCTTTGGGAGAGCTGTGAGCATACTCGAAGGACAGAGTCAGAGGAGGCCCTGGGAGGGCTGGTGGCACCTGGAGTTCTGTGGCAGATGTGGTGGGACCATCATCAGCAAATAAAAATTAAGTAGGAAAGAGTCTGGCCCACCTGGGGCAGTGTCTTGAGTAAGTTTCTATAGGAGACAGGGACCCAGGAAGCAAGGACGCAGCAGGCAGCAGCCTTCAGACTGAAGGGGTTTGAAGGGCTGGTACCACAGAGCCTCCTTCCCCTGGGGACCCTCAGGGACCTCCCAATAGTCTACAGAGGAGAGAAGGAGACCAAGGGACCAGTCGGAGGGGGACCCAGTTTCCCTTAGGTCAAATGAAGGCAGGGCTTGAATCAGTTTCTCCCAGAGTTTGAAGGGCTTTTGCCCTCTGCCTGGCTGCAGCCTAGCCCCATCCTCTCGGCAAAGCCTGGAGGTCCATGTGCAGTCAGTCTGAGATTGTATTCTTCCCTGGAGTCTGAACACAGGAAATATGAGGGCAGCAGACAGGATATGCTGAGGTCAGCCCAACTTCCTAGGCTGTGATCCTCACTTTCAGGGTCCCTGTGTGTGAGCAACGGGGCAGGGCAGGACTCCCCATCCAGAGACATCACCTCCAGGCCGCAACACAGAGCTTACTGTAGTGCCCACAAAATCTGAGAGGAAAGAAAGAGAATTAGAGAATGTCAGAAACTGCCAGGGCTCAGGAGCTCCCCTGAGCCATTCCCCAGGACAGAAGTGGGCAGGGAAAGACTATAGCCAAGTTGTTGACTGACTAGTAGGCCTCAAGCATCCTGTTCAACCTGTGAACCTCAGTTTCCTCATCTGTAAAACAAGACAATTCCCCGACTTCACAGCATCATTCTGAAGGGTCTAAAGAGATGCCAACCAAAGACTTGGCACACAGTAAATGCTGGAAATGGTAGTGGTTTGGTTTAGTTTTTACTTAGGCTCAGAACTGAACTGTCTGGTTTGATTTTAGCCCTCACTGATGGATGGAGAAGGAAACAGATTGGGTTTGCTCATATCACTTATGTATGGTTTACTAAGGGGGGTTGTTTGTTTGTTTTAAAGACAGGATTCATGTACCACAGGCTAGCTTTGAACTTGCTATGTAGCAAAGGCTAGCCTTGAACCTGATTCACCTGCCTCTACCTCCTGAGTACTAGGATTATAGGCGTGCACCACCCTAATGGGCCTCCTATATTCCTTCCAACACCGAGAAAGCTGGGCAAGGTGGCTCGTGCCTGTTATCTCAGCATTTAGAAGGCAGAAGGATTGCCACAAGTTTGAGGACAGCCTGGGCTGCAGATTTGAGTTCTAGGTCAGCCTGGGCCACATAGCAAACTCCTGTCTTTTAAAAATATGAGCATTGAACTGTTAAAAAGCTTTCTGGAGGCAGGAGAGGGACACTGGGTAGACCTAGTCACCCCAGGTCACATTATACCTAGGCAGCTTCAGAAGGCATAGGCAGCTCTGTTTTGTATTTCTGGAAGCTGCCACCAGACGGCAGGACCTGACCTTATAACCAAGCCCAAGGAAACCACCAGGTCAGAGGGTCTCTATCAAAAGCCTTTAAGAGATAGATGAGCAGACCTGTGTCCCAGCTCTACAAAGAAAGGTGGAAGGGAAAGCTCTAGCTTCACAGGACTGAGATGGGCAGTATGACACTAGGGAGGAACCTTGGCTCTGGACTGGGACCTATGTTCAAGTCCTGACTGCACCATTTAGGTGACTTTGGGCAAGTTTCCCAGCCTCTCTGTCCCTGGACTTTGGTTTTCGTTTATAAAACAGTGGTCCTGATGGCTGCCAGCAGAGGCCTATGAGAACCAGAAGTTTTGAGCATCCCCCCACATGCCCCTGCTGGCTACTTTGAAGACGCAATCTTCTTCACGTGACAGCCCTGGGAGACAAATCTGTTTTCATTGCCCTTGTTTTTATGAAGTGCAGGAAACCGAAATTCAATGTGATATAACTTCTAGGCTCAATCTGCTTCCAATATAATCTGCCCTCACAATCCAAGACTTCAATCACAATACTGATTACCTTCTGCTGGATAATTGAATTCATGACTCATTTAATCATCCCAGCTGGCATTCCCATTATATAGATGAGGCGAGACCCCAAGAGATGACTATAATGTAAAGGCTAAACATAGATTGTGCTGTGAAAAGGACTTCCCCCTGCCTAGCTCAAAGTAAAGGTTGTGTAACTGAGCACAGGTGTTCACCACAGTTCCACTCTCAGCCCTGGGGCAGGGACAGGGCTTCTTGACCTGAGCTTTATGGAGAGTCATCTGGCACTTTTGTTACAATATTAAGCCAGCATTTTACTTCTGGAGACTCCAAGAGAAAACTTGCACATGTGTGTGAGAAGGAAGAACAAAGACACTCACTGTAGTGTTGTCAGAAAATTTGGACCCTCCAAATAGGAAGAACAAAATAAGCCAGAGTTCAATCCGTGGCATGATGTGTGTAGACACAAAGGAGGTAAAAGCAGTTACCTCTGATATTCTGGCTTTATGTGTAAAGTGTTTCTTGTTGTTTTAGAGAGGATCTTGATATGTGGCCCAGGGTGGCTTTGAACTCACAATCCTCCTGTCTCAGCCTCCAGAGAGCTTAGATTAATGCAGGCACGTATGACCAATCCCGTGTATTGTTTCTTTTCTTTTTTTAATTTTAATATTTTTATTATCTCTCTCTTATACACACACAGAGAAAGAGAGGGAGAGAGAGAGAGAGAGAGAGAGAGAGAGAGAGAGAGA